AGTAATTTATGCTTATTCTTTCCAAAATCAGAGTACAAAGTAACAGATGAAAATCACCCGTTTATCTTTTATACTAAATGCGATTAATTAAAATTCTTCGCCCCTTCGTTGATGCTACGTTTTCTAGTTTTTCTCAGGCTTTCTCTGTTCTGCTTTTCAAAGACCTTCTTCTCCCCCACCCCTCTTGGGTTCTCAGTCCAGATTCCTGTTGTGGATTCAATTAAGCCCCAGGGCAGCGGTCTTTCCCGCTGCAGGTGACTCCTTTACGTGGGGCTCCCTGCACCACTGGCTCCCTCTTGTGGCTCTCGCTGGTCACTGCATACCTACTGCTGGCTCTTCAGGGACCTAAAGGACCTGATTCCCTAGGGACAGACAGTTCTAACAGAGTTGGGAATTAGCCAAAATCTTACCTTCGAACTCTACAGACACTCCCACGGAAGTTCTCACAAATGTGAGAACTCCTTTAAGTCCACCTGTTCCATATATTTCTCAGGTTCTCCCTTATGGGAGATTTCCACAAAAGCATCAGGATTTGTGCGTGCGTGTGTGTGTGTGTGTGTGTGTGTGTGTGTGTGTGTGTGTGTGTGCATTGAGTGCACATATGTTTATGAGTGCTGCTTGCAAGTAATCCTGGGGAGGTAGACAAGCAGGATTGCCAGAGGCTGCTATACCCCTTACCAACATTCTTGAGAGAATTTTTAGTCATTTAGTTGACAAATATTAAGGATTCTGAATGTGGCAGCCCTGGAATGAAAGCATGTAATAGATCTCTTCCTGCCACTAAGGTGCTCTTTTACACTGAATGGAAGGGGCAATTTATAGGCAGTGTTAATCTAGGAATAAGCCTAGCACTACAGGGCAGCAGATCCAAGCTGAGCCCCAGCCCCTTCCCCACGCTGCCCCTATGGGTCGTCTGTACCATGAGACCAATAACACTCAGCCTCGGCTGTGCGCACTGGCTGTTAGGAGGTCGCTTGCACTGTGAAAACATTCAAAAATTTCCAGTAAATGTAAGCCACAGCTACGAGCATTTTCAAAATAATAATGATAGTATTGTCCACACAATATTCTGAAGAGACCTACAAAAACTGTAATCCTGAGCACTATGGTACCACCCAGTGACTCCAGCACAATCCCTGAGGCTCTATCAGGTCTTTCCCCAAGGCACTTTCCAAGCTCCTCATTTGGGCTGGGTCTGCTCTGGATCCAAGAGGAGATGCTGTTGCCACTGTGGTATGGTGGTCCTTATCTCAGTTTGCAGCACAGGCTGCTGTTGCCAGACTTATATTTAATACCAATGGCTACTTCTATGAACATGTTTTTTCTCTGCTAAGAGTTATTCCAGGTATAAAACGAATGCTCTCAGAAGCAGCCCTCAGACAATGACAGATGACACGTGAGTGGATAAATAAACCAACTCCCCACTCCCCAGAAGGTTGGATAACTGAGGAATGTTCTAGAGTATTGCCCATTTCTCCAGGACCACTAAGTCCCAATATGACACAAGGTCTCCTGCTAGATACACATCTTTTACCGACTTCCTACTCTTCTGTGTCTCTCCAACTGTTTCCCAAGGTCCATTTGGAAATAAACTACTTGTACTCAAATCTTTTTGTTAGGGTCCGATTCAAGAAGAATCTTACCTAAGACAGTTGGTGTTGAAACTGGTCTTGGGCAACAGTCTCTCGGTGTGAGACTTCTCAGTGGGAACAAGACCCTGTGCAAGTGTTATGTGGAGTTTTGAAAAATTGTGAATATATTTCACCTTACTCTTTCGCAGGTCAATTTTGATAAGATTCTTATCTGCAGTAAGTTGAGAGGTAATTCGCTGGAAGGAGGTAAATTAGCTTATATAAGAGTGCTGGTACTGTAGAAATATGGTGGTGAAAGCCTAATTTATCTACAATTGAAACCCCAAAAGAAGAAAATAAAAGGATCAGATCAGCTGATCATCAATTTAGAGCACAGTCTAAAGATCAGAAGGATTTGTAGCAGTATTTAACAAACTTCATCTCTTGAAATTGGACAATAGGTCATGAAGAAAGTCTGGTTAGGATTCTGGCTTTAAATGTTGTAGTAATGATGTTAATTCAGCAGGTTTCCCATGGGAAAGTGAAGACCCTGATAAGAAAGGGAACTATAACCAATATAAAGAATCTAGGATGTTGTACCTGAGAATGTTGAACCTCCACATGCCCAAGAACCTTGAAGCTGGCAGAAGTAAACCTTTTGCCTGCTAACGGGGAGAAACCTCCTCTTACTCCTGATCCAGGTAATTTACTAGACAATGTTTGTTGTCCTGAAGATCTGGTCTTGTCTCTCTTCTTTGCTGTTATATCAATAGTTGTGGCCAAGGGACAGTTAAGACGTGGAAGTGTTGTACTGATACCTGTGTGGAAGGTTCAGGTTCTCACCCTGCAATATGGCACTGGGATGCAAAATAAAGACAAAGAGAGAAAACCCAACATATGAGGAGCTCTGGGATGACCAATGTTCTCTGTGAAACAAAAGGCCCCAAGTCTTAAAGATCATGGCTTTTATTGGTATCAGCAGAGAGGTGGGGGACATAAGAGAGTACCAGGAAAAAGAAACTTTGCGAGCATTGACTGTCATGAGAAACAGAGCAATTTTATACCAGGCACAAAGGCCTCCAGTTAGCAATGCAACAGATAGCTTGTTGTATGCAAGACTGGCACCTCTACCACCAGGAAGGCATAATTCTTTCTGAGTTCCATGATCTCCACTGAGATGTTATTTCCTGTTTTAGCCCTGGAATTCCACAGGTTGTTGCTCAATTCCCTATTCCAGCAACCAGTGGGGAGGGGGACAATTCTCACCCAGTCTCAATCACATTCTCTTATGCAATTAAGGGAACATCTGATTCAACATAGCCAGCTCTGCATAACTCAGTGAATAGAGTTGAAGGAGAGGTCAGGGAAATGTTGAGGTAAGGGACTTTGTTTCTTAGGAAAGCACAACTTGGTGGGCTCCCACAGTGATCCCTGCTATGAGAAGAAAGAGCATTCATCAGAACAGGACCTGGATAATGAGTACAAGTGGGAATTGAGAGCAGGTGGATTGGAATGGATCTTGAGAGTATTGTGCCAGAGGTCACTGGACAGAACACCAACTGAATAAGGCAGGGCTTGTTGAAGTAGGGACCCTTCTTGTGATTCAGGGTTAATATTCTGGTGAGGGTACAGAGGAAGCTGCTTGCCAGGGAGAGTTCAGCAGTGACTCTTTTGTAGGCCAAAATTGCTTGTGAGACCCGCTACATTATAACCAGGATCATAGGAAATGAAATGATGCTACCCTGGAATATCAAAGGCTAAGTGAACCAGCAGAAGCAAGGTGCAGGTAACTGTCATGAGAAGCAAAGCAGAAGGATACCAAGGGGGCTTGACCAGCAGGGTCTTTGCCAATGGCTGATGCTCCAAAGTGTGCTGAAAGATGAGATTTTGGACAGTCAATAAGTGTATTGCTTGACCTATATATCCCCTAAATCAGGGGGAATATATGTGAACAGAAGACTAGTATTAACTGTAAGAATAAAAACTCATGGTCTCAAACTAAGTTTTCGAATGTAAGTTGGACCTAAGGTCCAGAGCTCAGTGATTGAGAAGGAGGCCAGATTCCGTTGGAGAAGGATCTTATCTAAGCTCCTGTTAAATAGAGTCTGCCAAAGCAAAATGTATATACATTTCAGGAAAGAAAAAACTTGTATAAGGTGCATGTTCTCCTGATTTAACACTTGCAGACTTTTATCTATTGGCGACACTAGAGGATGGCAGGTATTACAAAAGCTCACTACATTGCTGGGCCTTAGAAAAGAAATAAAAAATGCACATGCAGCAATCTCAGTGACCAAATTAACAGCAGCTTGCAGTGCTAATAAATTCTGGAATCTAATGGCCACAACTTCAAGCATCACTTGCAATTGTAGAAGCCAAAGGTAACTTGTATTAATCTCATGATGTTTCAACAAATTTAGTATTAAAATATTTATACTAGTTTTTCTCTGTGAGATGAATACCTTTTTTTCAGACTCTCCCCTGTCGATGTCGCTCCCGGCCGGCAGGAAGGACACACGACAAAGTCTGGCAGTGGACAACCTTTTTTTTTATTTTTTCTCCGTACAGCCTGCCCTGGGATCGCTCCCAGCCGAAGCCTCCTCTGGTCCGCTCCCCGCGGCTCCTTTCGTGTTTCGCTCCGAAGCCTCTACCGGTCCGCTCTCCGCGGCTCCTTCCGGGCTTCGCTCCGAAGCCTCTACCGGTCCGCTCTCCGCGGCTCCTTCCGGGCTTCTACTTCCCCCCAGGGGTGGCACCAGTATATATATGGATACAGTGTCCAATCATATTAAAGTAAGCAAGGCAAGCTGATTGGCTAACATATTATTGAGCGGGTTGTTTACGCGGTAAGCAGGAAACTAACGTGCTCGATGGGAGGGGTAATCTAACTCAGGCTTTGCTCTTTACCACAGGCCGCATGATCGCTATATGCGGCGGCTAGGCAATGTGGTGGCTCCCAACATCTCCCCCTTTTTTATTTTAAATAAGTCTACGCATCGCAGCCCGTCCTGAATTGAGTGTAGAGGCCTATGCCCTGATAGGAGGCCCACCAAGGGCTCTCGGCGTCGGCCCGGGTCGGCCGTCCCCGAGTCTGCCGAGGCCCCGAGGCCCTCGTCCTTTTTCCAGGGCCAGGAAGGAACCGGACGGAACCTGGATGCACACAGGCATACACTCATGTCGCTCCGCATGATCTCCCCGGGGCGATATTTGGTTCGGGCGGAACCTAGTAATTTAGCAGCTTTCGTGCGGTATGGGGTAGGGCCTGTCTTAGGTTGAGTCATGCTGGGGAGGCATGCTCTTACCCGTCATTGACTCATCTACCCTGCTATATCATAATTTTTTAGAGGAGGAGTGTGGGAAGCTCACCGTCCCTAGACTCGGTCGTAGGCTAGGCGAGCGAGCCATGCATATGCCTGAGGATCTTCTTGTCTATTTTGGGCTACCGCTATTTTTATTTATCTTGTTGGTTGGTCTGTGATGGATCTCCGGTAGGGCAGGTCTGATCTTTAGTCGAGGGCTTTGTCGCCCGTGTCAGTCTCTCTGGTACCCACAGTGGTTCTCGTCCCGATTCCTGCAGAAAAACACAAACCGCGCCTCGGTTCCAGCTGATTACCGGATCCGGGCCCATCCATTGTCATGCCATAGATAACCGCGCCTTTGGAGGCAGGCCTTGGCTTACTCCCCCTTTTTGTTTTTTATTTTTTATTTTTATCTTTTTCGTTTTTTTTTTGTTTTTTTTTTTTTTTTATTGGTACCAGGGATCGAACTGGCGATTGCCTGTTTATAAGGCAGGCGCTTATGCCGCTGAGCTAAATCCCCAGCCCCCATTTTCTCGACCGGCGTTTTTTTCAGCCTGCTCGGCAGAGAACTCTGTGTACCAGGCTCGCCAATCTAGGTAACTACCCGAGGGCAGACACGTCTTTGCCAGCTGAATCCAGTCCGCGGGGGTGAGGGGCCCAGAAGACAGGTTCTCCAGCATGGCAATGGTGTAAGGCACAGTCGGCCCAAAGGTTGTAACTGCATTTTTAAGTTTTTTAATCTGCTTTATCTCAAAAGGCTCCCATGCATTACGTCCCTGGCCCACAGCTACTTGTACAGGAAATATCCCGTAGGGGCCACTATCTATCCCAGGTGGTGGATGTACCTCATGAGACAAATGTCCCCCCTGCCAAAGCCGCCTGTAAAAATACCGACCCGCCGGCGGCGGAGCATAAGACTGCGGCCGTGATTGGGCGGAAAATGGGGGCCCGTGCATCACTTCCTGTTCTGGCGAAAGGGGAGGGAGCTCCCACGCGGCCGCCTCGTGGCGAGGGATCGCTTCCGGGAACAGCCCCCAAGGTGGGGCGGAAGGCTTCGCCTCCCTCTCGCGCCAGGGGGCGCTCAGGAGCTCTCTACTCCTCTGCAGACCAAGTTGAGCGGAGCGCAATTCGCGGCGCAACGCTGGGAAAGAACCCTGCGACTCCTTATCGAGCGGCCTATCCTCTTGGCATCTAGGCTCCTTGGTCTCATCGTTGTCTAAGCCTTCCTCGTTCTCGGAGTCAGACGACTCCGAGGCCTGAGCCCCGTCTTCCTCCTTTATATCTTTGTCTCCTTTGACGGACCCCTCCCGGGAGCTCCCTGACTGGGCCTGTTCGAATGCCCTACGCACTTTAATGAGCTCTTGAGAACCTTCCCTGCAACCACCCTCGCTCTTCAAGCATGCATATATCATTTCCCACAGTGGCCGAGCGAAGACCGAAGCCCCGCCCTCCCTTTCCGCTAGAGAAAGATCCCTGCCCAACTTCTCCCACGAGGGCAGGTTTAAGTGCCCTGTGGGCAAGAACCAGGGAGCGAAACTATCAATCTCTTCAAAAAAGCTCTCCAGCGTTTTGCGTCCCACCTTGAGGTCTCTGGACTTTAAGAGCTTCCGGAGGACCTGTACCAAGGGCTAGGTGTCGTTACTCGGTACGTTACCCATATTTAATATGTTACTCACCGCGTGAGGCCCAAAAATCCGCCACTTACGCGTGAGCCTGAGGGGAGTCTAAAAACCCTGTAGGTGCGCGCCACCCAGGGCCCAGGTTTATCCCCTACTCACCTGTCTCTCAGTGCTGTATCAAGGAACGTTGTCCACTACCACGTCTCGGGGGTGATCAGTTGTTCCCCGTGCGGGCCACCAAATGTCGATGTCGCTCCCGGCCGGCAGGAAGGACACACGTCTGGCAGTGGACAACCTTTTTTTTAATTTTTTCTCCGTACAGCCTGCCCTGGGATCGCTCCCAGCCGAAGCCTCCTCTGGTCCGCTCCCCGCGGCTCCTTTCGTGTTTCGCTCCGAAGCCTCTACCGGTCCGCTCTCCGCGGCTCCTTCCGGGCTTCGCTCCGAAGCCTCTACCGGTCCGCTCTCCGCGGCTCCTTCCGGGCTTCTACTTCCCCCCAGGGGTGGCACCAGTATATATATAGATACAGTGTCCAATCATATTAAAATAAGCAAGGCAAGCTGATTGGCTAACATATTATTGAGCGGGTTGTTTACGCGGTAAGCAGAAAACTAACGTGCTCGATGAGAGGGGTAATCTAACTCAGGCTTTGCTCTTTACCACAGGCCGCATGATCGCTATATGCGGCGGCTCGACAATGTGGTGGCTCCCAACACTCCCCCACAAGGTTTCTTACTTACTGACCTCAGTAGTTCCACACTGGGGAAAAGGGATTACCTAGATCTTTTAGGAAGCTGTTAGAGGTAGGATCTGAGTTGATACAACACTACCATAGCCCCCTTTAGTGTGCTGCACAAAGAACCATGATAAATGGCCCAGGTCAGTCTCAAAATAAGAAAGTTTTTATGAATCACAATGTAGTCATTCTTCCATTCTAATTGTATGCTGGTAAACCAGATCTCCAAGAAGAAGAAGGAGAAAAAGGAAAGGAAATGAACAGAGTCTCATTTATATATTTGCATTTGCTGATTTTTATGCTGTGCATTTTTCCACATTGGGCAATTTAAGTCACCAAGAACATGGAGTAGAGAAAAGATGCCTTGATCCTTGAGTGCATGAAGAGGATGCAGATATTGGTTAGCTAGGAGAACTTGCTTGAGACTTAGGAATGCATGACCACTCACCCCAGACTTACTAAGTGGAAATCAGCACTTGAACAATTCACCCATATATGCATGAAGCATTGCTCCAGAACCATCTAGTACCTCTCAGGCCTAAGAACCTATACCTTCTTATTCCTATTTTAAAATGAATGAACAGAGGTCTCTCCAACACTGCCAACACTGCTCCATCATCACAACAGATTATTGCCTTAGTCACTTCTCTCGTGGTTGGGACAAAATATCCAACACCTGAAACTTAAAGAAGAAGATGGTGGATAGATAACAGCAGCTATACAGGCTCTCTGAGATACCCAACTTAGATTCCAAAAATAATACAGTGTGGGGAGTCCCAAACAGAGGGAGATACACCCTGCCAATCCAGGAACAAACTAAGCTGAGAGAAACCAATTAAAAATACAGTCCTGGTGCTATGATTGAAATAGCTACAGTCTCAGTGCTGTTGCTTGAACACACTGCTTGAATTTGCTGCTGCTGCCGAGAGAGCCTGAGCTGGCGCAGCCGGAATAGCTTGCTAGTTTCAACTCACTGGAGACATGAACGCACTGAGAGCAGGATTTGGTGAACTGAGTTGAGAGCAGAGCTGGCAGGGAACCCTGCATCAACCTGCGGTGAGTGATGGGAATAAAAACCCTTCATAGAGAAGGGGGAGCTCCAACAAATGACATTCTGGGACTGGGCAGACTGGCCAGAACAAGGCCCTGCAGTGACTTCAGTCAGCTATTCCCTTCTCAAGCAGGATTGGTGGGGAGCACTTGACCTGGGTGACGCCATGGACTGAGACCCAATAGGCTAGCCCAAACCAAGTCCCTATGCCTGGTGGTGCACCCTAGCAGTGAAGTCTTCAGCGGGTTCACTGACCTGGAGAGGTAGGCCCAACATAGGCTGCCCATACTAGGTCTGTACCTCCTAGTATGCTACAGTGGGTGGGACCACCTAGTCAGTACACTTCAGACAAACTGAAACCAACAAAGAAAGAAACTGAGCCTCCTATATATGCCTGGATGGAAGGAACAAAAAATATGAGAAGAGGAGGCAACAAGAAAGGGTCCTTAGTCCACCATCCTGAGAACACTGATCTAGGAAAGGTAAATGCAAAGGAGAATGAGGACAGCAAACATGCAATATCAGGCACAGCACCAATACACATAAAACAATATCTTCAGGACCTCATAGATGAGTTCAAAAGTGAAGTATTTAACCAAGTAAAGCAAGCTATAAATAGAATAATTTAAAAAATGCCAAGCACCTCCCAAGAAAAAACAGATGGAAGAATGGAAGAACAAAAAAAAGGGGGGGAGAATTGTTTGATGGAGAAAATAGAGAAAACATAGAAAACATGAAGCAAGTTCAAAGAGATTACCAGGAAATTAAAAACTCCATTGAAAGCTGGCAAAACTGCTTGAAAGAAACTAAGGATAGATTATCTGAACTGGAGGACAGGTTTGCAATGTGGGAACATGAAAAGAAAAATTTCTTTAAAATAACAAGGAAACAAGCATTAACAATACAAAGGCTAGAAGATGACAAGAGGATCTGTAACTTAAGAATAAAGAATGTGAATGAAGAAGCAGGGGTACAAACAAAGGAAATGCAAAGGCTATTCACAGAAAAACATAGGAAAAGGAAATGATATGCAGATGTATGAGGCATACAGAACTCCAGCCACCTACAAACAAAACAGAACTATAACCAGGCACATAATAATCAAGATTCTAGAGATTCAATATAAGAACAAAATATTAAAAGCTGTCAGAGACAAGAAACAGATCACTTACAAGGGAAAACCCATCAGAATTATGGCAGACTTCTCCACACACACTATCAAATCAAGAAGAGTGTGGGGCACAATAATCCAAGCCTTGAAAGAAAATAACCTTCAGCCCAGATTGATATATCCTGCACAAATGTCCCTAGAAATTAATGGAGAAACAAGAGGCTTCCAAGATAAAGAGGAACTGGGGGAATTTGCAACCACCAATCCAACTCTCCAGAGAATACTACAGGACATTCTAAAGAGAGAGAAAAGTGCCAGGATTTCAGGAACATTGGCAGAGAGGCTCCAATGAATGGAACAAAAATGAAATGAAGAAGACAAACAGACAACTAATGATGGAAAAAGAGCACAACAGAACTGAGGCAGAGAAGATTGGATATAATTGCTAATATAGATGGCCTAGATACACTAACTTAAGGGAAAAAAGAGAATCACAGGCAGAGTGGATCAAAAGGTAGGGTCCACCAAGATGTTCTTTATAGGAAATATAATTAACCTGAAGAAGGGTATATGAACTAAAATCAAATATGAGAAAATGGAACTTGATGTGATAGAGAACCAGAGAGTAATAGGGGTAACTGGACCAGTATTTATGGATAGGTTGAAAAGACAGGCTTTAATAAGTGAAGAAATATAACTAGAAATCAAGTCCAGGAGTGAGAAAGTTCAGAAACACTTAGGTAAATAGCAGGTTGCCCCCCCACTATAAAACCGAGAGTGTTGGGAAGACCCAAAAATACACAGTGCTTCCTGGGGGAGTGCAAGAGGATGAATAGTCTTAAAAAAAGATAGCAGAAGATATTGTTAATAGTGTATCAGGAATTAAAACCCTTATTACTCACACAACTCTGCTTGAATGGAACTTGTTCCGTCCCAGTTTGTATACAAGCACTGGATCTGAGGGCACAGACAGCTGTCCCGAAGATATCAGGATATAGCACAGTGGTCATCTTTAATTTCGTATTAACTGAATCAGATACCTGTATGACTTATACTGTTGTATCATGACTGATCTTAGTTAAATCTGACTTGTTTGATTGCTGCTTACTATTGACAGATTTTATTCAAAACTGTTAGGTTGCTGGTATCAAGTTGAGGAGTATAGACAACTATACGGATTCACTACGATATCCATTCTGATTTGATTACTACCTGTTTTTGTAGCTCTATACTATCTATCAAGTTGTATTTCTATTGATTCTGTTAGGTACTGATATATTAAATTATACTTTATCTGATGATATAGCCAATTCTGTTGATGATAACAAGAGATAGCACAGTGACCATGGTAGATCTCCTGATACAGCAGTTTTATATGTCTTTTTAGTTTTATGTATCAATAGGAATACATTTTGTTCTGTTTCTCCCTCTAAAGATAGAAATACATGTTAAGACTCATGCATGTGTAGAACCTATAAACAGTTTATGAGAACTGATCTTATTACACATGATGAAATGAACAAATACTTTGAAGGAAAAAAAGGGGCACTGCAGTACCCAGTGCTGATTCTGGAGTGTCATGATGTGAAATCCAGAAATATTATTAATTTTTGTTCAGAATGATTTTAATCTACTAAGTTTTGTTAGGTCTCAACATAAATGAGGATATGGATAAATGCGTACATGTCTACGTGAATAGGATTGATAGCCATATTACTTAGTTTTTGTTGGGTAGTTCAACAGAACTGTTTGCAGTCTCCCTGGTTGAATTCTCATTTATATGTTCCACTTTTGTATCTTAAACAACTATTTGTGGGGGGACAATATGTATATATCAACTAGTGACTTATTACTGTTTATTTCTTTGCTTTGAAAGTATGTAATATTTCTGCCCATTTTCAGTTTTGTTTTGTCTTTCTTTAAATAAAATTTTTCTAAAAAGGAGAAGAGGTTTATTTTGGCTTACATTTTTAGTCTAAAGTCAGCTGGTGGCAGGGTAGGAAGTCATGGTGGAAGGGCTGGACAGAGGAAAGCTGCTCACACCATGGCATCCAGGAAGAAAGATAGAGACTTCCAGGGAACACCCACTGTGACTCCCTCTTCTGGCCAAGCTCCACCTTCTAACATCACATTTAGCTGTAAGACTCTCATAATTCAACCACCTTTCAAAATGCCTGCCTCTGAGCATAGGAGGCTTTGAGAGGACACGTACATGTAAACTACAACTGTCACCATTATCATCCTCGAGCACATCCATTAGATAGCCACCTACTCATGGGCCATTTTTAAATAACAAGCAGCACGTCCTGAGCTGGCAGCACCTCCCTGTAGCTGACCCTATTTTGGTCTCATCCTGTGAGAGAGTTCTACAACTTCCTTGCTCTTGCTTGCAGCTCTCAATCACCTTCCTTGGCAACCCTACTTTCCCTGACTCCGTACTTACTTTCTCATCAGTCCTGTGCTTTCCTCCCCTGCCCCTGCGTCTTTGGCCATTTATTCAAAGGTTTCAAGCATGGTAAGAGCAGCCAAAGACAATAATGCTTCCATTAGCAGGAGACAGTCTTCACACTCTCAGGATTTCCTATTAAGTGTTATACAGTGTTTTCCAGAAACACAGTTGCACCTAAAAATAGAAGCGGCCTAGCTTTACCTTGCCTCAACACAATGACTCCATGGCTACTGTGGCTGGCCTTGAATAAGGGCCAGACATTTTGAAATACAAAGACTCTATCAAAGGAGGCAAAGGAAACTGCTTTCTTGGGACTTTCAAAAGAGGGCAGGCAGCTATTTACTTACTCCCCACTCTTTTGTTATTGTGTTCGGTCCTGGGTAAGAGGAAGGAAAGCGAGGAAGAGAAGAGGCCATGGACCAAAAGGAAGGAGTGAAGGGGGCGGGCAGATCTGCGGTGGGAGTGGGGCCTCTGGGTGCAGAGGATGACTCAGAAGAAGAGGAAAGAGAGCAGTGAGTTGGAGGAGGAGGAAGGAAGAACTGGAGAACAAAGAGAAAAAGAAAAATAGCATGGTTTTCTGCAGGCTACACGGCCGGAATGATCAGAACTTCACAGCTGGCCCACTTTCCTGAGGTGGAAAATGAAAAGAACCAGTATCAACGAATGCCAAAGCCAAGCTTGTTTATTCTCTTCTCCACAGCTCCCTAAGTAGCATACGTACCTCTGGGAAGGGAAACCCTTGCCTGCATCCTCATTCTCTACGGTGTGCAGGGAAATGGAAGAAGTGGAAAGAGTATCTTCAGAACCACAGAGGATCGAGGTGTCTGTGCCATCTAATTGGGAACAGAGAAATGAACTGCAATTGAATGGCATAAGGCTGTCTGAGAGGAAGTACCTGCCTAGATGGAGACGTGGACTGGATGTTGGCGGAAGAAAACCAGGAAGACAGATTGGGAACTTTCAAAAGGAAGAAGTAAGGTAAACAAAAGTTTTTAATGGCCCAATGTCTTGAGTGGAGGGATAGAAATGATGAGAAGGTAGGAACCTAAAGTTGACTTTTCCTGAACTGCAAAGGTCTCGTGATTTAGTTATGCAGCCTCCCATTCTAATCCCAGCTCTTCCTGTCACCAGCTGGGGGACCTAGAAGTGCTTGATTCACCTCACTAAGCACCTGGGTCCCTCTCTGTAAAATACTAACAGCAACACTCATTACATGAAGTGGTTGTGAGGATCCCATGAAGTGTGAAAGAAAAACTCTGCTCAGGGAATCTGTGAAGATTCAGGCGGTAGCTGGGCATAGAAGTGCATGCTTATAGCCCCAGCACTGGGGAGGCTGAGGGACTTCAAGGCCAGCCTGGGCTACGTAGTAGGTTCAAGGCCACCTGAAGCACACAGTGAGACCCAATCTAAAAAAATTAATTACAATAAAAAAAATTCAGGATGAAGAAGAGAGGAAGAGAGAAGTCTGGGGACAGGAACTTGAAAGAGAGTTCAGATCAGACCTGGAATTAAAGAAGCAAAATGTACTGCAACCCTAAAGATCTACCTAGGTAAATAGTAGAGAGGTTTCTGCACCCAGGGCGCTCAAAGAGAGTATGTGGAAACGATTCCAGCTAATATACGAAGATGAATAGAGTTAGAATGGCATTAGTTTGAGACATAAAATGAAATATGGAATGGACCTAGACAATGGTCATTATGCCAGTTTTTAATTGACTGTCCCTCAGCTGCAAATCCTCCCTTCAGTACCTGCTCTGAGATTACAGATTGCGCGCTAACGTTTCTCCTTTGCAGTGAGCACGATGTAAGCTTTGTCAGTAGAGGTCGCTGGAGGGATACTGCAGGAAGAAGAAGGGGTTTTTCTTCCTGGTTCCCTAGGTCAGGCCTTTGTTCTTATTTCCTGCTTCAAGGCCTCTCCGTGGCAGCACATGTAGTGGGGATCTACTGTCCCAGCGATGTATTTAGAATATGAAGTACCAGAGAGTCTGAGCCACGCCTAGACCCAGGGACCACCTTCCTTCAGCCCTTATGGTATGGACACTGTTGTGGTCCAAGCCTCAAAGCCATAGTGGAGCCTTGACTCCTCCTGGGCACTGCCCTCCAGCCTTACTGGGCCTATGGCCCAGGACTTTGTTTCCCACTGTCTTTTCAATATGAATGCTGCATACCAGGCCCTCCACCAGCTGGACATGTGTGTGTCTCACTCACCAGCCTCAACTTGCCTTGGGTTCTTTCCTCTTTCCTTGTACCTGTGACCTAACTCTGATGAGACAACCCAGGTGCAACCCAGGTGCAACCCAACTCAACTACTATTCAGTGTGCCACAAGCTCACCTCCCCAACAAAGTCAGAACTCTAGCCTTGGAGAGAATTCACCTTCAGTTGTTTTCTCATGGACACTCTCCAATTTAGGTACTTTTTAGAGGTCTCTATAACTTCATAGTTATCCTTCGATCGGATGCTGATAATTGTGTACATTTAATTTCTGATAATTGAATTACTGTGCGGTTTGTTTTTGACTGAAGCCAAATGACTCAATCATGAATGGCTGCTAACAGAGATACAGTGGAGTTACATGATCTTATTGGAGATTCACAACGTAACCTTTCAAGTGTCTTTAACAAAGCATCAGCCCTGAATCTGATCAAGATTTAGATCTAAATGCAATTGCAAGAAGCATGCAGAACACAGGAACATGTTAAATGATACCATCAGATGTTATCAGCACAATTCAGGCTGTGGGAAACTGCATAGCAAAAAAAAAAAAAAAAAAAAAACACAAACCAGGATTCTCTGACCAATGAAAAAGAACCTATAAATCAAAAGAAACTTAAAGGGCATATTTACCAATAAAAATTTATGAAATTTATCTGCATACTGATTCAAATTGTTAAAAAAGATTTATTAGGCAGAAGAGATATTTAAACACTGCCTGTATATTTGATAATATTAAGGTAATTATTTTTAAAAATGTGAAAGCTAATGCAGCAAATATGAGCACTGAATATTTGCTGATACTAATAGAGTTATCCTTTTTATATGTGAGAATAAAATTGTTAGTATTTTTAAAATTGTTGATCTTTTAGGCTTACTTAAAATATTAGCAAATGAAGTAATTTAATGTTGGAGATCTCCTTCAAAAAATTCATGGAAATTTCTAGCCCTGGCCATGACTAGAAAATACTGAAGTTAGGATACGGGTGCATGAATCCATTTTTAAAAACATTTTTATTGCTTTTAAAAGCTGAAAAGAGAAAAGGCAACCAAAATCTAAAAACAAACAAACAGTATAAATAGGAAATCTATGAAAGTAATTTACATGACTAAAACACACGTAAAAGTGCTCAACCTTGCTAATGAAGAAAGTCCAATTTTAAAAACCAACAAAAAATCAATAAGAATATAGAGAAGCTATTATTGCCACTATTATTGACAGAATGGGGGGGGGGGTACTGGGGATTGAACTCACATCCTTGCACTTGCCAGGCAGGCACTTAGGTCACTGAGCTAAATCCCTATTGACAGAACTTTTAAGAATAGAAAAATAGTACCATAAACCTAAGAGTTTCATTTCTACAAATGTATTTTAGAGTTGTCAAGTAAGTGGGAAAATACAAGTTTATAGCAGCAATTATTTTTTGCAATAGCACAATTCTAGAAGCAAATTAAATATCAGTGAAAAAAGTCATTTTAAAAAAGAAGCAAACAAATCATGGTGTGTGTCCACATTAAAGACCCCATGAGCCAACATAGTAAAGAGTGGGTTCACCCTCAGAGTTCTGGACAAAGCATTCAAAAGAAGAGCGTGTTCAATGTAATGAAGTCCTTTTGATCCCATTTCTGTAAAAACTAAACTAAACTAAACAATTAGAATAACCTCCCACTGGGATATTTCTAAATATTTACATGTATGCATGGCTTCCTCTCTCTATATATGAAACACTGTAGAATTCTGCTTTTTTGATTTTTCATAAGAATATGTTTCATGGGCCGGGAATTTAGTTCAATGGTGTAAGCAACTGCCTGGCAGGTGCAATGCTGTGAGTTTGATCCCCTGTACACATACAATTTGTGTCTCACATTATAAATATTTACTGAAGTTTGCAAAGGGTAAACCACTAGTGAACTGAGCAAGAGCAGTTTCCGAGGTGTGCTGGGAGTCTCAGTGCAGTAGACAAGTCACAACACATGCAGAGTCCACCTGACTCATTAGTGATGACACCATTAGTGATGGGTAACCAGCCAGGATTTAAAGTACAGAAAACCCAGTGCCTTCTTCAGGTTTCACAGGGGTTCCTCAAATGTATCTTGTCATAAGACTTTAGGACCAGAGAGATCTTTGAAATCAGCTGCTAATTTTTGAAACTAAACAAGGTATGGTACAAGACGTTAAGGGAGTTGCTCAAGTTCCCCAGAATAATTGACATTGTTAAAGAATTTTTTGCTAAGTACTAAGAGAACTAGGAGAGTATGGCTAGGAAACCTCCAAGAGTTTGAGACCATGAGGACGTAGCTAGGGAATCACATGTTTAGGACAAGCGTCCAGATTAAAATTCCTGTGAAGCTGCTGACAGCCATGTATAAATGACTGGCATCCAGTGATAAATCACCACCTGCATCAGGAGAATGAATCATTCCAGGCTTTGGACTTTGTAGGACAGCACATTTTTCTTTGGTCTTCCCTTTGCTATATCAGGGGACTGTTTCAACCAGGGTGACTGTGCTGAAGGACCCACCAAATTTGGCCTCATTCCTATCTTGGCAGGCTGCCACGACCAGGGTGATGGAAGAGTGTTTACAAGCATCGGATCCCCGGAACATTGTCTTTGTCCTGTTTGATAAAGGCCAGAGTCAGATAAGCAATGTGATGAAAAGAGCCCTGAACAGATGAATCCGTCATTGAAGAATTTCTGAACATGCAAAGTAAATGGATTAGCCACTACCTCCCAATGCTTGTACTTTTGAAATTCTACTCAATATTCCTTAGTCATATATTCAATAAATGAAATAAAACAAAATCACTTGCAAATTCTAGGAGAGCCATGCAGTTCTTTCCCAGAGGGTGGAGGGAAATATGCATTGTGGGACCCACCTTAAGGTTAGTGGCTTTGAAGTCAGACTGGCTGGAATCCTGGCTCCCCCAGGGAATCAGAATAATAGCATGCCTCTTCATAGGACTGTCATGAGACCTGACCAAACTAACACATGTAAAGTTCTCAGGATAGCGCCTCATACATACTGAACATTCAATAAATCTTGTAACACACATCTGTTGAGCCAAACATGATGAAAGTAATTTCTGCTGCATTGAGAGCTCCCTTAGATTTTTTTTTTTTTTTTTTTTTTTTTTTGGTCTTTTTCCTTTTTATCGGTACCAGGGATTGAACTCAAGACTGCCTGCTTAGACAAAAAAAAAAAAAAAATTTAAAAAAAAATGGGGCTGGGGATTTAGCTCAGCGGCATAAGCGCCTGCCTTGTAAGCAGGCAGTCGTGAGTTCGATCCCTGGTACCGATAAAAACGAAAAAGACAAAAAAAAAAAAAAAAAAAAAAAAATTAAAAAAAAAAAAAAGACTGCCTGCTTACAAGGCAGGCACTTACACCGCTGAGCTAAATCTCCAGCCCCCTCTTAGATTTTTGATGAGAAGTCATAGTACCAAACCTGGACATTGTCACCAGGATTGAGAAGCAAGGTGTTCACACTGACAAAAAATAAAACTCTCTCACAACAAATCTCAAAAATTTCTCAAGTTCCAATGGTACTGAGCTGCCATTTCTAATCACTCCCTGATAACTAGCTTCCCACTTCTAGAATGCTCTTTCCAAAGCAATTTGTCAATGCCACCAGCACTCTGAGGGTGAACCCACTCTTCTCTCACATACTTGGTTTTTAGTAACTCAATTTTAAAAAAAACTTTTTTTTAGTACATGTTTGCAGCACGTAATGTTTACATTCCTTGTGGGCCATTGGTACATGTATATAACACATCTTAATTCCTTTTTTCAGCCCCATTCCCTCCCCTCTTTCCTCCATCTCTCATAAATAAAGAGCAAGTAAGACAGATAATTGAAAATAGATCTTTATGTCACATACTTACCCATGCACCAGACTCAGCTTTTGAAACAACAGTGAAAGAAAATATCATGATTCTGTTTTGGGAAGGGTATTAGTCAGTTTTGCACTGCCACAATGAAATACCAGAGGCACCTAACCTTATGCATATAAATGATTTGCTTAGCTAATAGTTTTGGGGATTTGTACACAGGATCAGTAAGTCCTGTTGGCTTAGCCTCTGGTAATAGTGGCACACTGTGTCAGGAGAGTGTGAAAAAGCAAACAAGGGACTACAGCTGGACGCAAGGCTACATCCCCAGCAAGGCCCACAGCCCATCCCAATAACACCAGCTCAACAGAAAGCCTTTAGCATATGGACCTTCAGGGCACAATACTCCTATGTAACCATAGCATGGAGCATATGGTCACATGAGAAATCTGCTCAACCACAGATACCTACAGTACCCAAGCAGGAACAGACAGCATGACCAAAAGGAAGAAAGGAAGTGCCACTGTGGGAAGGATAGGGATCTGAGTCAGAAAAGAAGCTTCTCTCAATCTACCTTTATTTCCTATCACCTCTCTCCAGTGTGCCATTATGATTTAGGGTAGAGGACTCAGCACTAATGCATTTATTTATTTTGCAGATGCTTCTGGGAATCATTTTGAGGGATGTCTCTGAGATTGCTTTACTCTGTTTCAGATTTCCCAAGTGACATCTTGCTGGCTTCTCTCCCTTCCCAGCTCCCTCTGCCCCTCCAGTTTTCCCCTTAGCATCACTTTGGGCACTGGGTCTGCCTCTGCCCATGCTGCTCCTAAGATGCCCTTTCTCGATGCTGCTCATCCAGGTATTACTGCTGTGTGCTCTAGCCCTCAGTGCATCAGGAGAAGGGGGAAAGGAGCCACCAGCAAAGGGCAGAGTCACTAAGGAGCGGCGGGGAGTTTAAACTGGAGCTGGGAGAACATGTGGGATGTAGGATTTAGCAAAGTAAACCTGGAGAAATAGAGCCTGGACTTTGGGGAGCCTGGTAAGATTCCAGCAAAGACCAAAACAAGGTCAGTGAAGGTGGGATGTTACCTGGCTGGGCAAGGCACAGGCTGATGGTAAAAACACAAATAAAGTCCTTGCTTTCAAGGAATGAACTGAATATTCAGAAACAAACAAACAGAAATTCTCTTTAACAATTCCTCAGGCCCAGGCACAATACTGGACACAGTGTGAGTCCCCAAATTCAATACCAGCCTGACTGGTCGGTTTACATTCCTTTCCCAGTCAAGAGACAGCTCCAAACCTTTCCATCCTCTGCCTCCTTCTTTGTACACTCAGACTGCATTTTCCCTGTGCCTTAACACAGTTCAACATTTTTATTGTATTGCTGAGGCCACTTTAATTTATCGCTTTGTTTTAAGGAAGCACATCATCCAAAAATAGCACAAAATTACTCATGCTATTGGAAGCCTCCCTATGTGAGACCTGTAATATTTCACTCATCTGGTCACTGTGAACACAAGCCTGACATTCTGAGTTCTAACAGTCACGAAAAGGGAGCTGCTCGCTTTTTGGAGTGAGTTTTTAGCTTTTTTACCTTTAGACTAAGCACCACTGAAGAATGTCTGATCAGCCACAGAGAGAAGCCCTACAGAGCTACAGCGAGGAGACTGAATTCCTGCCCTGTCCAGATCCCGGCAGGCTGAGTTTGCAAAGGATTTTCTTACCAACCCTACTTTCTCCTGGCTTTCTGCAATGTCATTTCATGAGTCTATTTTTAAAATGTTTAGTTTTACATTGGATTTCATAATGTAAGCATATAAATAACGTAGTTTAGGGTTTCACTGGAGTCTGGAAGATAATTTAAAGGGAGAAGTTGTTTTTTTAAAATCTGAATCAGGACTGTTTTTTTCCAGAAGTTTTGTTGGGATTATTTGTGATTGCTTTTATTTTCTTAATGATTATAGTCCCTCTTGCCTTTCACCCTCTCTTCTGTACCCAAGACAGCTTCATTTTGGTGGACTGCCTTGGAAAATCACCATAATGGAATATATATGAGGATTAGGCATAGAAATGTCAGACCTTATTAAATCTCGGTAATCAAGTTCACTTTAGTGTTTCACATTACCTCTTCAGCCTCTGAGACTTTCCAGAAAGGAAGAATTCTCCATGCTGCATAGGAAATGTGTCCCCTCCCCCAGTGTCAGCAAAGCACTGTCTGGGGTCAGTCTTTATTGAAGACTGCAATATTTTCCACTTGTTGACTTTTTAGAATTCTATCTAGAGGAGACCTTTGGGAGATTCATGCAATCAAATTTTGTTTAAGGAGGGGGAAATCTAGTTATTAGTGGTATTATTAAATACCCCAATTAAAGCGCAGAATCTGGGCCCTCATAACCTTTGTCCCCCAGAACTTCTGAGAGCTTTGGATGCATTAGGTTCCTTTATCCACCCTCACAGGAAACATTAAGAGGAAGAGGAGGTCAGATCACTTCACACAGGCTTCCTTGATGTGCGTTTGCAGGAGTAGCCTGTTTATTCCTCGCTTCCCATTCTAGGTTCCTCCAAGTAAGTAGAACTGTAGAGACAGGTCAGTGTTTAGAAGGAGCTTAGGACAAGTGTTAAAGGCAGAGATACCAGAATAGGACACTGGTCAGGGTTTGAAGGAAGCCCTGCTGTGGGAGTTAAGCAATGGCCCAAAGTCCACTGTGAGGGGGAAGGAATAGGCATGGGAATGAGCAAGTGGTTTAGGACTCTACAGATGAGTGTGGGACACAGCACACGCCCTGCCCTCTCACCTTGTGCTCCCAGGAAGAGCTGCTGACACATGCCCTGGCAGCCTTTCAGTTTATAGCCCAGTCTGCTGATCAACATAGAGCCATCTTTCCCTGGGCTGCCAGGGAGAATCTGGGTCAAGGGAGGTTATGGCTGTAAGAACAGCCAGGCCAGGATGTATAGAATAGTGAGCCCACATCCTGCTTGTGATTGGAATGACGGTGAACACTCCTGATGGGAAAGTCCCTGAAGCCAGAGTTGTCTCTAGACAAAAAGTAGATCTAGAACTATCTCTTCCCTGTTAGCATTATATTCCACTTGGAAAGTTAGAAATCTTCACACATTCAAGCACGCACACACACACACACACCCTTCCTTCCAGGCCCTTGTTGGCCCTTAACCACTCTACCTAAGAGATTCACAGTCACTTAAGCATTTATTGGCTTTGTCAAGGGTACATTTACAAAAAAATCAAAGAATAAAATCAATACTTTATATGGGAAATTGGCAAGTCAGGTGGAGAAGTCTTTTGAGCTACAGTTGATCCCTGTCCTAGACTCATATTATAGCACAGTGTAATCAATAACTGTTGTCCTCATTTGAAAGCCAGGCGAGAGAAACCATCATGACTAGCATTGAAGAGACCCGAATTCCCCTCAGAAGCCTGCCATGGTTCACCACCAGAGGGATGTGGCCTCTTTGTCTGTCTGGGTGTTAGCATGCTTCTCTGTAGAAGGAAGATATGAGAAAGAACCGGTCTATGCTGGTCCCTGTGTCTCTTCCTTTCCTCATCCTCACTTCTGCTCCCTCAGGCTTGGGGACACTGCAAACCTGAGAGCAGCTCTGCAAATGGGTGGAAGGAAGGGTTATGGCTCTTTGTTTTCTCCAGAATGTCCTTATAGGCTGAATTAGGGAGCAGCCATCTGGTGGAAAAGTGGAACTAGCATGAACTGTATACTGCAAGATTGAAAAAAGTCTAAGGCAAGTGTTTAAATAAAAAACTTATTACAGTGAAAGACACATTACCATTAATCCCCTTTGATGTAACTCCCACCCTATGCAAGCACTTGGATATCCTCATCATCCTTGTGACTTTTTGATGCAGCTTTCTGTAAGTCCTCTTTCACAAATGTCTTAAGGCATGGATATCTTGGGGTCTTGAATAAATTCAAAACCTTTACCTTTCATCATCATCTTGACTTTGGGAAGCACCAGAGATCACATGGTGCCAGATTTGGTGAATGAGACAAATGAAGACACATCCTAATGTTCTTTTGAGACCACTTTTTCCATTGGAGGGCACTCAGTAGCTCCAGGCAACACATTTTTTATCACACTTCATAAAGGTATTCACAAAAAGAGGCTTCCAAAACTGCTTTAGAAAGTGGCAAAAAAAAAAAAAAAAAATGTGTGAAGCTAGGGAAATTATTTTGAGGGGAATGAATGGCAATGTGTCTTTTCTTGTGATAAATTTTTATTTAAACATTCACCATCATATAGTTTACTCTCTTACTTTCCAGAATGTCCCTATAGGCTGAATTAGGGAGCAGCCTCTTACTTTCCAGAAGATGTGGCCATTTCCCCCTAGTGACTTTTTTTTAGTGCTACTGAGCTAATCTCAAGATATCTCATTATTCACTTTTAGAATTCAAAGAGTCAGCTTTGGCTCCAGTGTCTGATTCACTGGCTGCTTTAGACACACCTCGTCAGCCCTTCTGAGGCCCTTTCCTTCCCTCTGGGCAGACCTGCAGAGGGAAAACAGCATATCAATCAGTTGTATCAGAGCTTGCCTGAAAGACATCAGGCAGAACACAGGTAAAAATGTCAATAAAAATTCAAAATAAAGACTGAAAAACAGGTATGGCTCCTTTTCAGTCTGCCAGAGCCTGCTGCCAAGATCTGAGTGATCTTTCATGATGCGATGAGTGTGGGGAAGGTCAGAGAAGGGAATGGTAAATGCTGGTATGATTTATGTTATTCTAAACTGTCTTTATCTGTACACCTTGTCTTACACTCTGATGTTTTCCAGCTGGATCATAACCTGATGTTTGCTTAAACAAAGATTTAAAGGTGACTAGATCAAGTGTATACTGTGTAAAGAGATGTTTACTTAGGGTACCTCAGCTCAGAGTCACTCAGTATGTCACTGGGCCCCTGTTAACTGCTGATCACAGTGCTAGGTGCTGATGATAAACAGCAAGTTCCTTTTATCCGCAGAGGCAGGTTATATGTGGGTGGGACTTTAACGCATCATAGAGAGGCCATGGAAACATGGAGGAGGTGTCCTTGACCTACTAGGTGGTGGGGTGGGAAACTCAAAGAGCTAAAATGTGAAGGTTGACTTGCAAGATGAAAGGCATTGCCCAGACAAAATTGGGAAGGGAAGAGCATTCTCAGGAGAGGGCCTCTTTTTGTGTGTGTGTATCTTGGGCAGAAGGAGGATGGGAGGTGAGAAAAAGGTGATGGAGAGGAAGAAAGGGAATTATAATCTCTCCCTTTCCTATTCTTCTCACCTTCACTCATTCCTATGGAGAGAGAAAACGAAACACAGTTAGGAAATTTTTAGCAACTTGAAGGAGGTAGAATAATACTGTAAACAATACAAGAATAAATTGAGTGAAGTTTACTTCTTTCTTTGCCATTCTTTCCATTTCATTCCCATTCTCAGAAGCTGAGCATCCTTCCAAAAGTTTTTTTTTGTGTGTGTATATATTTGTGCACATATATAAACATACAGAAAGTACACAAATTCAAGTAAAATGAATCACATTTTCTTAGATGAAGAACACATCCCCCGTCTCTGGGTCAGAATTTTGCCTGTTCTGAAGAGCACATGAAAGCAATGTGTCTGCTTGTTGTTCTCCCAGGTATGGGAAATTGAATCTGAGACTCCATGGAAAGAACTGACTTCTGGATTAGACTAGAAGGAGCTATTTCCTAAGCGCAATACTTGAGAGGAAGAAACAAATTTAATTTAAGGGAGAATCCCCAACCTCCTGGCTCTCTCTCTCCCCAATAGATCTGGTTCTCATCATTTACATGTGTAAGAGAGGGAAATACTTTCACTAATAAATTTTGGTTGCTTCACAATGAGTACAAGTTTTAACCTGTGAGTTTCCTAAGTGTGTTGCAGATAGACACAGAATTTTAGAGTGGATTTTGAGTCAATCTTAGCCTTGTCTTGCTGTTAAGGAAGATTGCCTAGGTGATCAGGTAGACAACTCATGTCTTAGAGTCACCTTTGTTCTAGGGCCCAGAGCAGCATTTTTCAGAGCCATTACTTGCCTCTGTCTATCTCTGGAGGTGATCCCTTTTGCAGGCTGGGAAGTGCTTTGCTATTCCAGTCTGTCCCCTTTCCCCCCTTTTAATCTCTTTGAAAGAGTTTAAAAGCAATTGTTCAAGTCTCTTGATCATTTGTTTAATTTTGCTAGCAATGTTTCCTTTTTTAAACGTGCCTGTTATAGTGGAAATCAATTGTAGCTTGTGCTGTGGAAACACAATTTGAAGTTAGGTGTGTGAGTTTCTGGAGAAAGTAGGGGCACTCGTCAGTAAGGACGGCCAGTGAACTTACTTTCTGGATATGCTCCTGGATCAGGTGATCTCAAGGGATTCCTTAAGAGCATATAGAAGCCAAGCAGGGATTAAAAGAGACACCTATGTTCTCATCGTTGTTTTGCAGATGTAAACTCAGTGTCAATTTCTCTTACTCCTTAGAGTGTGCTCTTACATACTGGAAATTGTTTGATCCCCACATAGTGAGAAAGAGCTATTTAATATTTTTCAGCATCCAAGTATGTCTTGCTTACCCCTAGAGGCAAAACAGAATGCAGAGGAAAGTATTGACTATGAAACTGTTTCACAACCGGAATTGTACTGTAAGTGAAAGGGCAAATGGTTAAATTATCTTCTCTTTAGACTTTCTTTACAGTAAGGTACAATTCTTAGTTGTGTCCAACTCTGGCCCTTAGAGGCACAATCAGATGCATCTGTTATTACTGAGCTTGGGGTTCTTCTCACTTGCCCTCCGAACTCTAAGGGTGAGGCTTCCAAGCCAACCTTAACTAAAGCCTCTTCTGGGCTTTACCCATCCCTACCTGATTTTGTTCATGATCCTCAGGAACAATATCCCTGACAGCAGGTGGGTGGAGAATTTGGCTCTGCCCATGTCCAAGTGTCCTTTTCTCACAGTGACCTCAGACAGATCAAATGAGATCTGGGAAAATAGACAATCCTGATAAGTACATTGAGATCTTTAGGGGACTCACTCAGACCTATGAACTGACCAGAAAGATGTAATGCTACTCTTAAATCTAACATTGACTTCTAATGAGAGATTAACATCATTACAGAATACTATTACAATTGAAAATGAAAATAATGTTGTTGATTTTAGATGGTCAGAAAGCAGGCAGCCAGAGGAATAGCCAGCTTCTACTGGAGTCCAAACAGTCCCTACACAACATCCCTACTGGCCTACTAACCTGATGGGAGATTGGAATAGGAAATGTCTTCAGACATGTATCATTGAAGGTCTAGAGAGATGAAAACTAAGTGTGTCAATTACTTTAAATTGTCTATTCATGAAGAGAAAGATCTTAGACCATTTCTTAGATCATTTACAGGAAGCACTGATGAAACATACATTCCTGGCTCCTGATTCAGTAGAAAGACAGATTATTCTTAAAGACACATTTATTACTCGATCAGCTTCAGATATTAGGAAAAAGCTACAAAAGGTGGCTGTTGCTCCAGATAGATCTCTTGAAACTTTAGTCAAAATTGCCTCCTCAGTTTTTTATAATCAAGGCCAGGAAGAGGCCAAAGGGAAAAAACAGAGACCAAGAAAAAGTGACTGCTTTGATTTCAGCCTTAAAAGGAATAAACGCTAAATCTGTTTTCTCAGGGCTCAGAGAAGAGCTAGATGACTAAACTCACTTGCTACTGCTGCAGAAAGCCAGGTCACTTTAGGCAGGACAGTGATAAGAACCGTTGAAACAAGTGGGATGCGCCGAGCCATGTACTGGGAAGGAAGTCGGGCTGCTCCCTGAGACAGAGGTCCAGGGATCAGACCCATCTCACCAGTTGGTCCAGCAAGACTGAAGGGCCCTGGGGCACTGTCTGCCTTCTTCCTCTGGCCAGAATATGACCTCCACAGAGGAACCCTGGGTAATCATGACCATAGAGGGAAGAGAAACCAGCCTATTGCTGAATAATGACATGGTTCTCTTGGTCCTTCTTTGAGACTCTCCCCTTCCTTATGGCTGTTATACCTCAGTAAAAGGAGTCACTGGAGAATAAATAATTCAGTTTCTCACAACCCTGAGATGGCTTTTTTGTCTCCCATTCCTTTTTGATTGTGCCTGAAAGTCCAGTTCTCCTGTTGGGGAGAGATATCTTATCTTGCTTGAATGCTGAAATATACATGCTACTAGATCTGGTACATTCCCTCCTTCTTGTGTAGACAGAAATAAATCCTGAAGTATGAACAGCTAAAGGTAAACTACAAAGAGCAATAAGAACTGCTCCAGTGCAAATACATCTTAAATGCTTTACTATTTCTCTTGAATGCCCTCTAAGGACATTGGCTAAATTTAAAAAGGAACTATTACCTATAATTGACAACTTAAGACCACAAGGTTTATTTAGACAGACCCTGCAACAGTCCAATCTTGGAAATTAAAAAAACCCATTGGAGAGTGGAGGTCAGCACAGAACATATTGGTGAATGAGGCCGTGATACCTAACTCATACAAGTTTCTTTCTCAGATGCAGTCATTTTTTCATTGTTAGACTCAAAAGATACCGTCTTTTGTACTCCTTTCCATATGGAGTCTCAGTTTCTGTTTGTCTCTGAAAATCCTCACAACCAGGCCTCTCAATTGATTTGGACTGTTTTTGCTCAAGGTCTCAGAGACAGGCCTCATCTCTTAGGTCAATTGCTTTCCCAGGCTTTAGCTTGTTTTGAGTTCTCCTTAGTTGCAATTCTGCAACATATAGATGATATATACTATTATGTGCTCCCTCAGGAGAGCTCTCTAGCCAAGACACCTGGGTCCTGATGAATTTTCTAGCAGGCAGAATTTATAAGGTCTCCAAAGCTAAGGTAAAATTTTTCGGAATTGAGGTAAAATACTTGGGACTTATCATATCTAGGGTAACCTGAAGACTGGGGGAAGAGAGAATTAAATCAATACTTTCTTTCTAAATCTCAAGAGCATAAAACAGCAAAGAGGATTCCTAGGAATTACAGGCTTTTGTCGCCTTTGGATAGCAGATTATGGTGAGATTGCATGATCCCTCTATTATCTTATAAAGGAAGCCAAAAATGCAGATACCCATATTTTAATCTGAGTACGTGATTTCCATACTGCATTCTAGAAGATTAAGCAAGCATTTCTAAATGCCCCAGTACTGAGCCTAAGACAGAACACCAATCTGTATGTTGGTGAAAGGCAGGGCATGGTTTTGGGATGCTACACAAGACTGAGCTCTATATATAGCATATGAGTCTATAGCATATATGAGTCACAAATTAAACATTATAATAAAGGGATAGTTTGTGTGCTGTACAGCTGTGGCAACTGTAGCTCTTTTGATATAGAAGGCATACAAGAAGACTTTAGACAAAGATCTCACTGTATATACACCTCAAAATATGGCATAACTTCTTTATTCCAGAGGGAAGCTATGGCTATCAGACAACTGACTTCTTAAATATCAAGCTCTACTTCTAGAAGGACCAGCTATTTATATAAAGACACATCCCTCCTCAAACCTTGCTACATTTCTATCAGAAAAAGGAGTAAATCAAGACATGACTACAAATACATGTGTACAGCCTGAGATTTGTAGGACACATTGCTTACTGACCCTGATTTGACCCTTTTTTGTGATGGCAGTTTCATGGGAAATGGGATAAGAAATGTAGGGTGTGAAGTAGGGACTCTACATCAAATACTTGAAAATTCCTCACTTGCCTCTGGGACTAGTGCCCACCTAGCAAAACTCATAGCTCTTGAAAAGGTTTTACAACTCAGTGAAGAGCAGAAAGTCAATATTTATACTTATTCAAAGTATGCTTTCTTAGTGTTGTATGCTTATGCAGCCATATGGAAAGAAAACAATTAACAGCTAATGGATTTCCCAAAAAGTACCATAAGAAGTAGATGAACTTTTACCATCTGACTATGTACCACCCACAGTGGTGATAATTCACTATAGAGAGCACCAAAATGGACTACAGTACCTCAAGGTAATCAACTAGCTGATGCAGTTGCAAATAAACACTTGAAGGCCCCGCTTCAGGCCTCCCCAATTTGGGAAGAGTCCCTTGATCATACGTGACCCAAATATTCTCAATCAGAAATCAAATTGGCTCTATCCCATGGGTGTCAGTTCTTTCCATTAAGATGGTTACAGTCAGATTATGCTAAATTGTCCCGTCTTGGTGCTAGTCAATGGAAAATTATTAAGTTTTTATACCAAACCTTTCACTTAGGATAAGAACCAGCAGATGGCCTCCAAGTTATTCATAAGAAAGGGACTTTCTTGGCAATACAACAGATGATTAAGACATGTGAGCTCTGCCAGAAGAACAACCCTCTTAATCAGGTCCTGGCTCTTCCAGGTATACAGAGACATGATAAATACCCTTAAGAAGATTGGTTGCTTGATTTTACTCATATACCAAAGAGTAAGGAGCTCCAATACCAGTTGGTCCAGGTAGATACTTTCAGTAACTGGGTTGAGTTCTTTCCTTATAGAAAAGATAAAGCCCAAGAGGTGGTAAAGATTTTGGTTTCAGAAGTCATCCCCATATTTGGAATACCTAAGAGCTTGTTTTTGAGTGATAAAGGGCCTTCTTTTAAAACAATGACCACACAGTGTGTGTCTCAGGCCCTGGGCATTCTCTATCATATTCATTGTTCATGAAAGCCACAATCATCAGGAAAGGTAGAGATAATTCACAAGACTCTAAAGAGGTACCCTTGAAAAATGGCTCAAGAAACTCACCTGCATTGGCCCCATTTGCTTCCTATAGCTCTTATCAAAGAAAGTAATAATACACCTTAAATTCTAGGCCTCCATCTTTTTGAAATGCTTTATGGATGCCTTTTTCTCATTGATGATTTTCTCTTTGATAAATAAGCATATGCCTTACTAAAAGATTTCCTTCATTGGCTAAATTCCAACACACTTTTCAGCAGCTAATAGAAGCTCAATCTTAACAAAAGGGGAAATCTCATATTCTATCCTGGAGACTTAGTACTGGTAAAGTCTAGATCCTCATCACCTCCTTCCTTCCGAAGTTCCTTCCGAAGTTCCAACTTGAGAAGGACCATACACTGTGATCCTGTCAATTCCAACAGCTGTCAAGGTTGCAGGCATGGATGCCTGGATATACCACACTCTATTCAAGCCCTGGGGATTAGAGACTGTCTCTGAGTATAAGCAACCATCCAAATATTCTTGGGACCTCACAGATGATTTAAAGTTCTTGTTCAAAAAGAAAGTCATCTTTAGATTGCAATATAAGACATTACTCTTATCTTTTTTTACTAATTACTTCCACACCACTTAAAAAGCAGAGTGCAATTCCTTTCTAGTATGGGCACAGGAATATATAGTGTCATTACAACAAACATAACATTGCTGGATATGTGGCCGACTCCCCTTGTCAAGTATATAAAGGCTCCCTTGGTGAGTGTTCCCATTTCAAGGAGACAAATGGAATTAACTACAAGGCTGCATTGATGAGACACAAAAAGTTCAGTGGTTCATAGTTCAGCCCACTTTATAAGGTAACTGAGTGGCCTATAGATTTCACCTTTAATGTTCCTAGACATAATCATATTTTTTTCTAAGAATGCCACTGAAGCTTCTCCATGGACCCAGGTAGAATCCCTATTAAATAAGCAAGACATTCTATCATGGGAGCCAATGATCATAGATATAAAGATGACTACTTTCAAATATAAATTTATTATATATGATTAATTCCCACCATCAGATACCTTAATAGAAAGGGTCTCTTACATTGGGAACAAAGAAATCACTTTTATTCTCATTGACCTAACTTTTTAAGTTCTTGGGATCGACACTTCCAAGCAATATATCCACACCATAACTTTACAGGTCAAAGACCAGATTGTAACAGACTAGTTTAATCACCTGGAATTAAATGAGAAATCCCCGTGGCACTCATTGGCCCTATGGAACCAATTCATGAACTGGTTACCCCTGTTTGGAGGGGGAGATGCACATTGGGATTTGCATGGCTACAAAGCAGGAATGTCAAGAATATCAACAAACCTGCAAACTTACCCCATCTATGACGATGATGGTGTAGCTGTGTCTTTCACTGATCATTCAGCTTCTATCTTTGTGCCTTCCCTGGGATTAAAAGATATCACACAACACATTGAGGCCTTGTTTCTGTACTCAACAAGCCTTCCATTTCAACTGGTCTCTTTCTGAAAAGAAGTAAAATTAATGAGGCAAGCCTTACTCCAAAAGTAGATGACATTAGATATCCCAATATCAACTCAAATGGGTAATTATGCAATTGTAAAAGCTAAATGTTGTGTGTACATTCCTGATCCTTCAGATAGTATTCCAATGGCTATTCAAGGTAATAAGTGACAGGTTAATGCTATGTCAGATTCTGAAATTCCCTGGACCTTCTTCTTACCGTCTTTGTGGGAGGTTAATTTTGACCCTTCCTGGTGGAAACATTTGTTGATTGTATTTGTGACAGTCATATTGATCCTTTGATTTGGCCCATGCTTAACTGTTCCTTTGGCCTTAATATCCTTCAGACCTAAAGCTATATGCCGCCCCATGATGAGAACATCTGTTATATATTGATAGGCTTTCTGTGAGTATCTCTGACTGTCAATCACAATTGTAACCCCCTTTAGCTGCAAGTAGCCAGACTGTCTTGCCCCTTGACCCCTTATGGCACTTAGGGTTACCTCTTCAGAAGGGGGACTATTTCAGACAACTAAGTTTTGTAGAAATATTGTAGGCAGTCATATAGCGGTAGGGCCTCAAGGGTGTCACTGTAGAAGATGAAAAGACATTACAACCATAGCTGGAGCGGCATTTGTTGAAGGCTCTACCTCAAGATAAATATAGAATGACCAGGCCTACTTGGCTCTACAAGGGTTAAACAATAGCAAAGATTATACTATAATTGGTGTCACTTGGTCTAATAAAGTCAAGATAGAAATCAATCACCCAGATGGGTGACTAGGATCTCTTGTCCCATCCCTTCTTAAAATGTTCTTTATTTTCCTGTGTACATTTGGTAATGAACTGCTACCCCATTGAGTCAGTATTACCGAAGTGCCTATACATGCATCTTATTGGTTGATCATGGTGTTGACCCATGATGTCATTGTTTTTACCAATCTCATGATTTTACAGCCACCTTGTGATTTTGGCCTCTTAAACTTCCTTGGAGAAGTGGGATCTCCCTGTGGCAACTCACTTTTGGGTCTCCTCCATTCTCCCAGGAGCTATTTCTCAATAAATTTTCCTATTCTTAACTTCTATTATTCCTTAGACTTCAGTCTTTGATATTGGGGAATACAAACTCAAGATATCTGACATCTATCAGGTTAGGAATCATGTTTTTCCCCTATCTCAATACAATACATTTTTTCTATAGAATAAAGAATTGGTGGTAAGAATGTTTTCCCTGATGGTCCAGAGATCCCTGTGTCCAAATTAGACCAAGTCCAAGATTTGTAACTGAACATAATTCAGGAGGTTCACCAACTAGTTGAATAGGGGAAGGGATTGATCATTATTTGTACTACTTTGAAATTTTGCTTTCTGAAATTTAACTTTTCTATTTTAAATGTGATAAATTCTAGTAGTATTATTAATACCAGCAATTTAGTCAATGATAGAAATCACAGATAACTTCATATACAGTTGTCCCACAAAATATTTGCCCTACTGCAGAATTATGAAATCATTTCACCTGCAGTTAGAGCTTGTTCCTTAATGCTTACTAAACAGAACGTATAAAAAGTTCATAGGTGTAGGGTACATGTCTGTAATTCCAGCACTTTGTGAGGCTGAAGTAGAAAGATAAAAGTTTGAGCCCAGCTTCGGCAACTTAGTGATTTACTGAGCACTGTTTAAAAAAAAAAAAAAGGAAGGGCTAGGGTTGTATCTCAGTGCAAAGAACCTGCAGAGAACCTGGGTACAATCCCCAGTACTAAGTACTAATACTACTACTGCTAATAATAATAATAACAATAACTGCATTTCAATATAGTCAGAGCCCTTACAAAACAGTGTTTCTTTTTCACTCTCTTACTTAAAGATGATAATTTGAGAGGGGTTCATAAACTTTACCAGACTGCCAAAGGGATAGATGCCCAGTAATGATTAAGAACCCCTGATGTAACCAGGGTAGGATGAGATTTGCAAATGTTCTTAAAGGTCTGTGTCAATGTCTTTATTTACACATTCCTGAGATTCAGCCTTCATCTCCTTGAGCTTCTCCTAACCAAATATGTTAAGGAAGAAGCAGCATCTGTATAAACACCGACCAGCTCAAGTGTCAGGTTTCCTCTTCTTCACAGTTGTTTGAAGCCAACAGTTAATGGCATTAGAAGGATCGAATATCCTGTGTGGTTAGAGGAAGAGAAATACATGTTTTTGGAATTACAATCTGGGCGTTTTGGTTTAACTGCTACCCTGTTTTCTTTGTTTCGTTTAAATGCAACCAATACGTGTTCTGAAAGTAAAAGGCTAAGTTATAAATTTGTAAGCTGCTGCTTTAATGTTATGGGTAGGGCATGAGGACATCCCTTAAAAGCTGTTTAACACTGTGATGATGAAGAGTCATGGCCTGAGAACAGAGTCTAGATGTGACATGATAAATGGATTTTGCCCTGATCTGATCCAGTTACCACAGTGTTGGGAAGGATTCTGAGGCTATCTCTAGGCTTAGGGAGAGAAAAGAAGATGTGATTGATTGCCCATGTCTGCTATGGTAAAGGGACTCTGTTGCGTGCATGCCCCATAATTGCCGAGTCCATCCCTAACTGGTGCTAGTGGCCACTCTAACTTGAGACCCACATAGAAATATATTCCGGTGCATTTCTTCCAGCAGAGTCCCACTCTGCTGAGTAGCAAGGGCAACTTCAGTTCCTGTAACTGTTTTGCCAATTATTGATTTCAACAGATAAGCAAAAAGCACGCAACACACAACACTGTGTAAAACAATCTAAGGTGCCAAAAAAGTCACACCGTGGTTGATAAGAGGGAATTCACTAAAAATGATTAAATCAAAGAAAATGAGGATTCCTGTTTCCTTCCCGCTTCATAAAGCTTGACCTCATGAGTTCTGCTCAGAAACAGTTCTCCCAAATTCATGACTTACTGACTCAGTTTTCCTGGATTGTTTCCTTGATAAGCCATTTAAGACAAAAAATGCTATTTTGCACTTACAGAGGGCTTTGGTTTTTGCAAAGCTATTTCTGAAACGCTCTTCTGTGAGGCCTCTCAGAAGTCAGGGAAGACTCGGTTGTCATCATTTTCCCTGCTTCAGAGGTGAAGAAACTGCAGTTTTAAGAAGCCAAGCAACTTACCGGACTCTACCCAGTGCTTTTTGGATGGCAACATGTTGCTTTTCAGCATTTTGCTGTTTATATCTGAGTTTTCTAAAGAAAATCATTCAAAAAGAAAAGAAAAAAACAATATTCCTCTATACATTAGTAGTGTATAAACTGTCCCTCACCTATCAACTCTTCCACACCAGCCAAGATGGAGGTTTTCTTATCTCTCTTTTTATTTCAGTTAGAATTTAAGGAATCCACTTAATCATTTGCACTTTGTCCTTCTGCTAGTCCAAACAATCTCAATTAATGATCTCCTGAGCAAAGCCTCTAATTACAATTTACCAGGCTTCCTCATTGACTGTTTTTGGTTTTGTTTTGAGAAATTATGAAATAGGCAAGTCGTTTTACACTGACCCTTGAGAAGTGCTATTATTTGCTTCAAGTTCAGATATACAAGAAGAAAATTGGATGGATTGGAGGATTCTCTACAACCCTACAATAAATGACTGAAAATAAGTCCCAGCCAGAAAACAATCAGCCTTGAAAACTAGGGATCAAAAATGCCAGCCCCATTCAGACTGCACTTGGCTTCCCTGCCTTCCAGAATAGCCATCAAGCAAGAGAATGGTGATGGCAGGGAAGGTTAGGGTAGGTTGATTGGGGCTGGCATTTTCAGTCTCTAGTTTTGAATGCTGATTATTTTCTGAGTAGGTCTTATTTTCAGGGAAACAGTACTAAGATGGTAGTTTACTAAACAGTTCATGGTTCCTGCTGGCCTTGTTAAACCAGTGGTTGAGACCCCTAGCCCCACATTTTGTCCCAATTCTCCTATCTCTCTTGCCAACATCACAGCCCTGGGCTTTTTGAGGGAAGTAAATGCATCCCCTTGTTCCCTACAATCTCATACATTCACTTATGCACCAGCTATGCACCAGTCATCCTAAAGGAATTTACAACCAAGTTAAAGACAGATAAGCTGAAGGATAATTTTTTCTGTTCATAAGATTTTTGTTTTTTGAGATAGAGTCTTGCTATGTAGTTCAGGTTGCTCTTCAACTCACTGTGTAGCCCAGACTGGCCTCAGATTCCCAGCGATTCTCCTGCCTCAGCCTCCCTAGTGGTGGGATTACAGGTGTGTGCCACCATGCCCAGCTCTTGTCATAAGATTTTTAAAACTTTTGAGAAGAAAACAAGAAGTCACCAAGAAGCAAGCCCTCCCTGCGAATCGGTGCCATGTGCAGTCTACTGGAGGGACAGCCAGACCCCAGCGCCTTCCAGTGCATGGGCAGGAAAACAAGAAAAACCAACCCTCCCTACCACCACCAAAAGCAACCGGCTGATCCGGAGAAACACAGGCTGCAATGATGGGTACTGAGGTGCGATGCTATCTGATGCTTGTGGTGTTTGGTGCTTCACCAACCTTGCAGGTCTAGGGCCAGTGGTCTGATCATCTATTTGGAGGATAACAGCATGTAGTGTGGCATTTATGGGGCCTCTCTTTCTGAGGGTGGTGGCCATTGTTAATTCCCTATCATCTTGTTTTGAAGTCCTGTATCATTTTCATTGTTTCATTGGGTTGAGTTTTATTCTGTTTTGTTTTGTTGGATTTTATTATGTCTGATGGCATGGGCAGCTATTTCAAATGATAGCAACATATATTACGGTAGCCATTTTGGATTTACTATTGTCTTATTTTTGAAGTCCTTTATTGCATTCATTGTTTTGTTTTTATTGGTTTTATTCTGTTCTGCTTTTTTGATTTTTACTATGTCTAAGAATATCTGCAGCTATTTTGAAGACAGCAGGAGGCATTATGGTAACCATTGTTGATTTCCTATTGTTTTGAAGTCCTGTTTGCACTGAATTGTTTCGATTGACTTTAGCTTGGTTTT